ATTAGGGAGAAATAAAAAGGGCGTCTTCAGTCCACACTCTACTCCTCCTTCTCACTTGAAGAGGCTGTTTCTTTCTTCCACTACAAAGAGTGGAAGAGATACTTTGTTTTACGAAAAATGCTCAGAGTAGCATGTCTTCTTCGGAATGGCTGCAGCTGGTTGTGGCAGAGTTTGAGAAATTAAGATGTAACCTCTTGGGCTGCTAAAACCAGCACCAGGATACTGCGTCCGTGTCGGCCTCCTCCCTATCTCCCACCCACAGATAGAGGAGGCGACGCAGTGAGATATCGAAGACCTGAGTGGGCCAGCCAGGGGACTCAAGGCATACCAGCACAAGAGTGGTGCTGAGAGGGCACCTCTCATATTTATTGATCAGGCATCACATTCTTGAGTGGGTTAACAAGTTTCTAGACACAATGATTAACATGCTTTACTACAGGAATGCAATTGCCTCCAGGTCGCTGGGGTAAGTTGTCCCTGGCGCCAGGCAATGAGGAGGTAGAGATAACAGGAAACAGATCTCGGTTTAGATTTAGTGAGCTGCGGCCTGCACGACAGATAACAAGGAAGGCAATCAACTCCCATAAACAGAATGATCTATGGATGGCAACCTACGGGTCCGCCCTGTGCAATGGGTGGGCCCTGTTCCCTGGCAGAAGGGCACTGGGGCAACAGAGAGACCAAGATGCTCCTGGCCAATCTTGGTACTTCTGTTTTATGAAAACCTCCACACTCGTCAACAGAAAGGGCAGATCTACAGGGCGCTGGGGAACAACGCCGGGAGCAGGGCTTCCTGTGGACCCCAAGAGTAGTGTCACTCCAAGTTCAGAAGCCTGCAGTTGAGTCACGAGCTGGCCAAACCCAGGATGGCCTTTGGTTTCTCTGCTCCAGATGCTGGACCAAGAGTCAAGAACATGCACTATAGGAGACTGAGTGACAAGATGAAGCACGGCTGGCCTCTTCCTCTTTTGTCACGGTGTCAGAACTTCCGAAGAGACAGAAGACGAAGATGGGTGGACTTTGGGGCCCATGTACCCGTGCCCAGAGTTTCGAGCTCAGATGTGTTACAGGGGGCTCACAGCACTTCACTGTCATCAGCTTCAGGTGGCTGATCCCGGGAAGAACTCCGGCTGGGTCTGTCTTTTCTATGGCTGCTAAACAGCAGCGCCTTCCTCATCCCATTGTCCTCCCTTCTCTCCACTACAGTGAACTTCTCTTCTTTGAGGCTTTGAGGTCAAGAATGGGATTAAGAGAGAATCCAAAATTGGGTGCTCACAGGAAGTAGAAACAGGTATGGTGTTACGGGGAAGGTCTTGTGACATGTCTGGCAGTCTGAGCTAAATGGAGCCTGCAGGGTGAGCCAGTATCCAGAAGGCGCCACAAACGTTCTCCAGGGGAGCGAGGAGACACGGTGCCGGGAAAGCATGAGTAGCCAGACTTGGCACTGGGGAGCAGGCAGCACCTCTCCTGTGAGGGGGAAACTGCCCTCAGAGTTCTGCCCTCACGACCAGCCACCCCTCAACTGGAAAAAGCTTCTAAATCTCACGAATGTGGAAAGAGCGTTAGGCAAGGTTCTCACCTAGTTGGTGATCAGAATACACACAGGAGAGACCCAAATGCTGTGAATGTGGGAAAGAATTTAGAGAGCGCTGCTCCCTCACTGCCCACCCGTGAACGTACACCAGGCAGAGGCCCTTTCAGGGTGGGGAGGGTGGGAAAAGCCTCCACCAGAGCTCCAGCCTCGTGGTCCCCCCAGGACCCACACTGGGGAGAAGCCATCTCAGTGCGCCATCTGTGGGAAGACTCACATCAGCTCCCAGGTCAGCGCTCACTAGCGAAGCCACCCTGGGGAGAGCCCACCCAGACATGGGTGGTGTGGGAAAATCTTCCCCAGCAGTGCCCACTCACGCTGGAGAAAGATTTCAGGTGCTCTCAGTGTGAGCAAAGCTCGGTAAAGAACTCCACCCTGACCCGCCATCGGGCTACACACAACACTCGCATCCCAGGAAGAGATGCGCTGTGAGCTATAGGAAGCCTCACAGGTCCCATCCTCAGGCCCACATGCATTCCTGGAGCTTCCCACTGCTTGTGCAGAACTGGCTAATCGTTCCCAGGCTGAACAGTAGGCTCTACTGTCAGCCTACTGGAGAACCATGTCCAAGAGCAGGAGTCAGTGTAAGGATGCTGCATCTCACGAGCTCTGTCTGGGCCCAGAGTCCCATCTCACTGTGACCTTCTGTTCTTCTTTGAAGGGCAGAGGCTGTGGGACCCATATGTCCTCCTGGAACACCAGGGTACCCTTGTTCTGAACAGAGTATGGGGGGCTAGTGGCCTGTGCAAAGTCAGAGCAGACATTCTCCCCTCATGGGAAACACATCTAGAAGCTAACAGGCAGGGTATGTTTTCATTCATTAACTGACCTCTAGGCACCTCCTGCTGGACAGCAGCACTACCCTCAAGCCACATCTCTGCTGTGTTCCCGTCAACAACTACAAGGGGACGAAGGAGAGGATGGATTGAGCTACTGGGAAATACTGAATCTAAGCGACTAACCCTTGAGCAACTGTAATATCTACATTAATCTCCCTGCACCCTACCATCCCCAGTCCCGGTGTCGGGTTTCTCATAGTAAAGGTTTCTACAAGTGTAAAAGCACTGCTCTTTCTCATGATAATAAAGCTGCTTCTGTCCCCACTTCGGGCCTTTGACTGTCATTTTCTCCATTAGCAACTTCACACTTTTGCAGAAGCCTGCAGGGTCCTGAAGAGGACTGAAGTGCAGAAGCTGCTTCAGGGCAGCGGGGCATGCAGAGAGGAAGTAAGGGGCAGGAATCAGGGAGGAGGGACCAAACTGGGCCAGGAGAGGCCTGCACTCAAGGTCACAGGACAGAGGAAGACAGAGGGGCTGCAGGAGAAAGGAAAGGGGGTGTATGAGGAGTCCTGACCCTGACCATGGCCCGGAGGGCTCAGCTTCTGTGGAATCTCCATGGGGAAAACCTGGGTGAAGGTGGGGAAACTGTCCGTGGATCGTGGCCTGTGCTCACAAGGCCTTAGTGCCTCGTATAATTCATGGTGAAAAATAAGAGCCACGGTTTCTGCCGCATACTTTCTGGGGCATTACATATGAGACAAGAATGTACATTCTACCTCAAAGACGAAGACTTGGTTCATTTAGGGAAGAAGTACAACAAGCGGGACATAAGAAGACCCCAGTGTTCCTCAGGATGAGCCTGCCCTGGGCCCCCACGTGTCCCTGCATTACCGCCCTTGGTACGGCCATCAGGGTAAGCTCGGCAGGCCAGTTCCCAGAGGTACAGACTCCCCTCAGGACTAGAGGGAAAACTAACATCTTCACAAAGCCTGGGTAACGGCAAAGGGTGGGCTTGCACGTGGCCTCCTGAGGATGCTCTGCCTCACGGGAGATTCACGGTGGGGAAACAGCCCAGGGCTGGACGGGTTACTGACGGGCTGTGGGTACCAGGCCAAAGGAGCTGGACTTGACAGATGGAGAGCCCCAGGGAACGTCAGTGAAGTGCTCAGGAGGCGGAAGTGCCGATGAAGGCCTCACTAGCAGGATCCTCCCACTCCTGGGTCTGCCCTGCCCAGGGAATTCCAGGTACCCACTCAATCTGTATGTTTAGGTTGCCTTCACCCTCCACACTGCTTTATGAGTACCTGGGGCTTCCAGTATCTTCTATAAATACCCCCTGGATCATTTTAACTAATCGATACAATTTTTCAATTCACTCCCTTTTTCCCAGGGATGCCTAACCATCTCCAATAGACTGGACCAAATATTCTCAACCAGAGAAGTACAGCCTAGAGACTGTCACCATTTCATTCCTTTACTATGGGACACGGATGGTCACAGTCAAAACAGGAGCAGAATCCCTCAAGCCTCTTACCCACTTTCCTTTCCTCTGGCCCCTCTGCTACGCCTCCCCTGTGAGGGGACTGCCTTTCCAGTCAGTCTGGCAACAACCCAGGACTCCTGTTCCTGGGCTACAGGGTACTCAGCTCATCACCCCCTTTCTCACGGTGAATTCTTGCTTCCACCACTATTGGCTGCAGCCTCTTCCCAGTTCTGCTGCTCAGCCCTGGCTTGGTTTCTGGGTAGAGACAGCAGAGTGAGCGTTCAGTACCTGCGGAGAACTTGGGACCCTAGCAGGTAACCTCGCCACTCCCCGTGGCAGGGTAGTTAGCGTGAAAGATGTGGAACTTGGGAGACTGAGGAGATGATGTAGCTCTGGCAGAGGGAGGAAACTGCTCCTGGTCAGCTCGGGCATTCTCCTTACCCTGGGCCGTTCTAGCGGCATCTCTCCCAAGGTCACCAACTTGTGGTTTACCTGAAATTGCAAGTAAACCCTGGGTTTCTCGGGAGCCCCCATGCGCATCTTCTCTCCTGGGTGCAGTCACGTGCACAGTAACTCAGAACACGGTCAGATAGGTTCCAAAACCTTTCATTGCTTCAGTCTCTCCTTCTCAACACTCTCTTGCTAACACTGCCTGTGGACGTCGGCGCACATATTCCTGCATGTTAATGCCACCAGGGCAGTCTCGTGGTGGCTGAGGCTGTAGGCCTGGCCTCCTGGGAGGACAACGGGAAAATTTGTAACGCAGTAAAATAGATATGAGCAGTGTGGAAAGAGAACAAGGTCAGGAAAGCCCCCTAGAAAGGATTAAGTTAACCAGTCAAAACTGAAAATTCAGAGAAGGCTCAGAGTTAATGAGTTAATCAGTTAAAGCTCAAAAGGTCAAGGGCAATTTGGCCTTGAAGGTTTGAATATTCCCCAGATAAGGAGAAGTATCTGAGCATAGCCCATGTCTTTACTGAGTCAATTAGATCATTGTAAGATTTACTCTAGCCTGCTAAAAGTCTCACCTATAAACAACATAATAAAGACAGGGAGATCCCACCTTAAAGCCAAAATTGCCTTTTGAAAAAAACCCAGAAAGTTTAAGAAGAAAGATTCTTAACATACTCTTTAGCAAACATAACTCTGCTCACCTTGGGGGAAGGGCAGGCAGTGTTGATTAATATGCTCCCAAACCAGGAAGCTGCTGTCCTGGGAGAGGGCGAAAGCAATAAGTTTTTTGTGTTAAGCTTTTTTGCAGAATTACCTAGAGGGCTGATAAAATGTCTCTTCAAAGAAACTTGAGACTACTTAACAAGTCCACATCCCTAGCCCTTTGTCACATTCCTGAAAAATCCTTAAAAGGGGGAACCCCCAACCTTTCAGGTTGTTCCTCTCTGAGGTCGCCCACACTTAAGACTGTGTAACTAACTTCTCCCATCCTTTCAGGGCAATCCTCTCTCTATAAGGCCCCCTGAACTTTCTAAGTACTTTAAATAAAACTTTTACTCTTGTTTCAGCACTGTGTGTGTCTCTTGAAAGCAAATTCTGGCATGCTAAGACCTCTACCCCTTAAGATCCTATCACCACGGACCAGATGGTCTTCAGCCCTTAAGATCCAATCACCAACGCAGAACACACCCTACCCCTATTCCTTAAAAACGGGCTTCCTCACCCACGAGCTGCTGCTCCCTCTCTCTGGGGAGAGCCATTTTCTTTCAGATAATAAAATCTCTTGCGTGGGCCCGTGTCTACTGAGTCGTTCTGGGGTAAGGAGGGTCGCGGCGAGATACCCTTTCATTTCTGCCCTTCAATTCGTTGTTGCCGTGGGTACAAAAACCACGGAAAATAATGCTCTCCCAACACTTAGTGTAAGTCTTGGGAGAGGAAAGCCCTGGGAAAAATATCTCTAAAAATCGAAATCAGTCAAAGGGAGAAATAAAGTTTAAAAGCCATTTATTGTTCAAAAACTGCAGTCCAACAACGTCTCTCCCCCTGCTCCGGAGGACGCAAGCCAGCAAGGCAGCTCCTCCCCTTAAAACTCTCAGGTTCAGACACGCCCTCGGTTGCCCAGGTTACCCATTGACGTGGAGAAACTTCTCTCCACCCGAGGATATGCAAATACAGTAAAGCCAGGGGAGACACTCTGGAAATGTTAGTTTTACCCATACTTAGGCTTCTGTCACACCACAGAACCAAGTAACTCTCAGGCACAGCACTGTGCCGAGCATGAGATCCAGTGCACGTCTGACATGGCGCCTTAGCAGCTTTTACAGTCTGAAAGGATAAAAGGGAAGAACAGACACACCAAAAAGGAAAAGGAGACCTATCAGAGACCTCATTTGTGACAGAGGACGGTCACACAGTCCGCCTTCATCCATTGGGGACCCCGATGGTTAGACATCAGGGCGTCATACTACGGAGCCTCCCGCACGGCCTTCAGCCCGGCTCAGGAGTTCAGTCCTGGGACAGGTTCTGCGCCTCGGGCTCAGTGCCTTTGCCTGGAATACGCGCTCCCTAAGCCTGACTCACTCTCGCCCTTGGCTCCCAACAGTTTGCGCTGCGGGTCTCCGTCCCTCCCAGCCAAGGCAGGAGGGGCACCGAGCTTAGAAAGAAGGAACGTAGACACGAGCAGAAATTTGGGTCCTAACGAGGTACCAACAAAGAAAGCAAGGAACCCACACGGCCAAGGCGCTACCAACACCACGTGCTTGCTTCCTGAAGTTCTCAACTCCTCGTCCCTGTCCACGCTCCTCGAACGCCGTTTCTCACCTCTAAACGCCAGAATTTGTTTCTGGCGGCTTTATCTACGCCACGAGCTTGGCAGCTGCGGGCAAAAGGCGTGTCTGGGCGGTCTTCGCGAGCCCACCGCCCGCACAGGGGGGCACCAGGGCGCCATTGGGCCTCGGTGGCTGTGCTTTCCTCGTGTAAACCGCAAGGGCTCAGCGTTTCTCAAAGGTGCGTCGCCCGGAGGCAAACGGGCCGGCGCACCGGGCTGCCTCGTGCCCACGCCTCCCCACAGCGGGTGGGGGTGCCGGCCCCCGGCCACACCGCATCTCTGCACGCGGACTCAGCCTCTCACCAGCCACGCTCTCTCTCCACCGCGCTCGGCCGGAAGCTGCCGCGGGGCCCGGCGGTACCGCCAGAAGGCAAGACGCATGCGCAAGCGCTGGGTCTGTCCCGCCCCATTCAATTTCCCCCGTTCCCCCGGGTAATCGACCGCAGTGCTGGCCGTTGTGTCATAGACTGTGACCAATAACGCTCTTTCCTGGTTCGTCCTTGGTTCGGGACGTTTGTTAATCCAACCTATTGGTTTATTTGTTTGTTTTGGGGGTCCCTGTAACAATTTTGTCAGTTACTTGGATGGGTATTCGGTCCAATATTGTCGAGGCTCCTTCCGTTTTGCAGAAATGACCACGACAGTAATCAACAAGCCGTGACGCTTGCACTGTGATTGGCATATTTTTAAACACCTTCATGCTAACAAAATCCTCACACCAATCCTGAGGTCAACACTCTATTTTCATCTTCCAACAAGGAAACCGAGATCAAGTTTTTAAGTCGCTAATGATAAAAGTAGAATTAGAACTCACTTCTACTTCAATGTTTTGCCCCCTGTAACTCTGGGGAGAGGAAATCTCAGGGTAAAAGACCTTTAAAACCGAAATCAGTCAAAGGGAGAAATAAAACTTAGAAGTCATTTATTGCTTACAAACTGCAGTCCAGGGCCGTCTCTTTCCTGCTTCAGTTAGAAGCTGGCCACCACTCCCACCACCTCTCAGGTTCAGATAAACCCTCTGTTGCTCAGGTAATTACCCATTGATATGGAGATGATCCT